ATATCCAATGACTGAGGAAGCAGAATAAATATTGAAGAGGGACATTTTAAGCAATCCACTTGCTAGAATCGCATGCAGGAAAGGGACATATGCCACTGGGCTGCAGCAGAGCAGAGACCTCCTCATGGGAGCCATTCTTTAAAAAAAATAAATAAATAACAGCGCTTCCAAAAGGTTTTAGCGCTGTCAGTAACGGCGTGTGAGTGGAAGAACAGACACGATACTGTCTTTTTCCAAAGCACAACCCCATAAGGGGAGAGCGGACAGCTTGTTAACCTGTATTTAAGACTGTAGACAAGGGACCGTGTGCTCATTCCATGCGTTTGAAGACAATAAATCTAAACATTGACGCCGGGTATTGTTTCATTTTTTTGACGTATAAGTCAGTTATCTTTTGGACAACTTTGTTTTACTAAATAAATCTGAAAAATACTGTCAACAGTTTTAAAAAAACACAGAATTCTTAATCGGCGCAGATTGACCAGTTTTTTTGCTTTAAGACTTGGACAAAAGGAGAAGTTTTTTAGATTACTGAATTTTGCATTCTGAAGTGCTTCAATAAAAAAACAGAAAGCTAACCTAACAGAAAATCTAATTTAATTTGAAAGTGTCATTTGTTGATCTGCACTACAGCAGTTTTCCAAACTTAGTCATAGATGTTGAGCGAAACCTCATGAAAACATCTGTGAAAGGAACCGTTTGAATCCAGAAGTGAACTATAAAATAAACCAGTTTTGCATGTTGAGCGTCAGTCATCAACCACATTCATTTAAACAGTTTGACTCATCTGCACAATTTCATGTTGTGCATGCTATGAATGATAAAAGATGCAATGTATGTATCATACCGAACAATACTGTGGTGGAAATTTGTGGATTTAGCCCTTGTATACAAAATAATCCCAGTTTCTCATACATATGATCTAGAAGCAGGCTTGGAATGCTGCTGCGAATCTAAGGAAAGTGAATTGCTTTTAGTTTTTCGTTGAGTCCACTCAACGAGACAATTCATGCTTTGTTCCAGAAGCATTCAAGCTTCACTCTGAGAATATTAAATGTGGAATGGGATGGGATATGCCCGATGGGATTTTAATGGAAGGCGTGAGAGGGGAGTGTTGAGTTATGTGTAAGTCAACAGTGGGAAGGGGATTCTCTGCAAAATACCAAACCGCATGTGATCAGAGGGGAAAGCATCGTGTTGGGGGAGGGGGGGGGGGGGGTTTGGAGTCAGTTTTAAGGAAGTGGGTTTAATGCTTCGGGATGGTGGTTATTGACATCTGTCAGCAAAATATTTCCATGTTGCATACTTCTAGAAATATTAACACGATGCACTACTTTTCTGTGAAGGCTGAGGTCAGACAAGAATGCGGCCTGAAAGCAGTTTGTGTTCTCTTGTCTGCACTCGGCTACGCTGGCGTTCAGGATCGAGCATAATGAAGGGTCAGGCTGTAATGTATTTCTAAGATAACTGTTGAGTACTTTACCTTTAAGACTCTAAACTTAGGTTTCGTCCTAAAACTTAAACCTTTAGGACTAATGCAATGGTTAAAAGCGCTTTATTTTCACCAGACTTTGACGACCCTTTTGAAAAAAATTAAAGCAGCGGCGAGCCAGATGTATGGACGTTAATACAAAAGTACCAATAGAATCTTTTCACATTTTCTGCATCAGCCACAGCAGTTGCTCCCGGGAGAAATTTAAATAGGTTTGCAATCCGCAACCTCACCACTATATGGCACGAAATCCTCCACACTGCGCCTCTACAGACGTCTTTAACGTGGAGGTGGTCTTGCGTAACCGGTCCTATGACCATAATGTATAAGTGCGTGAGAAAGGTGCTTGAGAAAGGTGTGTGAGAACCCTCAAGTTCTGGACTGAGGAAGGCGCTGAGCCTCCGAGGCAGCAACGATGGTTCTTCAATAATCTGAGGATTGTTCACGCTGAAAAGGGCCTTGGCAGGCTTCTAAGCACCCTCTATACATCCTGTGAGGCAGGAGGCCGTTGCGGATGTAAATGTTGTGGTTTTGTCTGCTTTAAGAGCCTCTGTGACAAACAGGAAACTATACCACAACGCAGATAAAACACCAAACGGAATTTTTTTTATCTCAATGTTGGAGCGAAAGACGAGCGCTTCTCCGCAACATAACAACCATGTCATGTTGGTGGAAGACAAGTTGTCCTTCACTTTAAACCACAATTAGACAACAACAGTGTCGTCTTCCAAAATGTAAATATTAATACAAAGATTTCAGAATTTGAAAGAGCCCTCATTCCGGTGTGAGTGGCGTCATTTGAAGATAAACGACTGGAGTCCTCTCCTTGATGGGATCTATCCATTCATGCAACGAGAAATCCTGCACTTGTCTCCATTCATTAAACAAACTCTAATCCAAAAATACCCTTTTTGTAAGTGGCCTGTGGCAAAAGAAAGCAGTCATCACACGTAACGTCGGTCTGTCGGTCGGTCAAGTCATGTTCATTTGGGTCAAATGTGTTTCGTCAATGAGGGGTCAGTCGAGGTTTATTAATGCACCCGTTTGGTCCTCTACGCAGGTCCAATTCCCACATCATCCATTTGAATGCACGGTGCCCGCCAGCACCTCACCGTGTCGCTCTCGTTTAGGCTTCAGTTCGTTTTTCAAAGGGAGCGTATTCCAGTGAAGTCTCACGTGTCTCGTTCTATTTCGAGGCGCCCGGTCCATCTGGTTGGAGAACGTCCGATCTGAGTCATACTGTACGTCTGTAATGAGGTTGCTCTTCCAGAAAGGTTACCGCCGCTGTCTTTATGGAACACCATAACGCTCGAATGGACATCTGACTCGTGAGGAGTCACTTTCTTGTGGATGCTTATGGCTCAACTGTTGCTGTGGTTTGCTGATCGCGATTAGCCGGCTCACCATTGGGAAGCAGTCAGCGTGGTTACATGGATTCGAATAACTGGCTAATATTGGGATAATAGCACTTGCCCCGAAAGAGAGCATAGTCCGACTAAGCAAAGATTCGAATTATACCATCATGTAAACACACTGTGTGCTGATTGCGGCGAAGATGCTCACAAGGACTATTGAAGAAGGAGTTGTGAAAATCGAAGCAAGCCTGGCGGTTTTCAGGCCGGCTATTATTTCGTTGTTCTTTCGTTTTCCCTTCCAGATCTTATTACTACACCTGTGTGGTTGCTTCCGCTACAGTTTGACTGTTTGTCTACTTTTAGAGCGCAGCCGTGTGAACCGGCAGATGGCTCCGGGCTGACATTGTCACTATATATATATATATATATATATATATATATATATATATATATATACACACACAGAAGTTTAGTATTGAACTTGTTGAGTTTTAGCCATCACATCTCAGTTAATTTATGATTAATAAATTATTAATCATAATTATTCTTGTGTGGTTCCCTCACATGATTTCATTGCAAAATGATTCCGTAAAGACAATAATTTTCATATTGAATCATTGTTAAGCACCGTTACCATCGTTAGCTGTTAGCATTGTTAGCTGTGAGCTGGTGGCTCAGCCGTCACCATGTTGAGAAAAAAAAAAGCTCCCAATCTGGTATGTAACTTCTGAGGTACAAAAGACCCAGTGTGTGCCCTCATTCCCATTTGTTGCATTAAGAGGTGGTGGAGCTGAATCATTTGAGATTTAACATAAACTTTAAAACCTCCCTCATGGTGTAAATGTGTGTTTTCTACTTCCTTTGAGACAGGTGGTCTTTGTTCTGCCCAAAAATGAAAAGCACCTGTAGTGATTATTAGTCAGTCAGAGAGTGAAAAAGGGCCTTTTCTTATTCTTGTGGAAAGTCTGAGCTTCATAGTTTGAGTAACGCTGGAAAATATACACTGTTGGAGAGATCAACATGCCTCTGTACCTCCAGCTCACAACTGTGTCTTATTTGAGGTCCCTAGGGGACAACATGCTCCATTGTCATTTGCACTGCATTCAAATTTGACATTTTACATATTACATGCTGTCTTTGCGTCCCGTCGGATAAACCAAATTTGTTCTGGTGTTCTTCAGCAAAAAGCTTACAGGTGCCTGAGCCTTGCACAGTGCTCAATGTTACACGAGAAAACCTTATTGACCCAAATCAGAGACTGAATCCATCACACCTTCAGTGTACCATACCAGAGCATTGTCAGGATTGCTGTCAGCTTCAGTTGTGTGTGTGTGTGCGGTTTATAGTGTGTGTGTGTAACTGCAGACCATACCTCCAGTTTCTGAAATGCAACACAGGAAACGTTGTCTCCTCCTACAATGAGAAAGTCCTGCTGCTGCAAGCACAAACAGGCACATTTGGCACTGTGGAGTTGTGTTGCAAACGTGCCTTCGCACCCGCAGCCTTCGTCTTCCACACTACAATCTCCTCCTTAAAGTGAGCTATAAGCCGTGATTTGAAAGTTGGCAACGCTTTCTACCACCAAGGTCTGTTTGTTTTGTCTTCCAAATTCTTTTGTTTCACATTGGTCACAACTTACTCTCAGGGGATGTGTAACTAACATGAGGTAGTAGCTTATTCAATAATGTATGCAACAATATGGAGCAGATGAGTGTCTGATCATATGTGATTTACTGGTGAGCTTCGAGGTCAAGTGTTGGCCCACCGGGAAAACGATTCTTAGCAGAAAGGTTATGGGAACGTTTTTTTCTATGCGTGCATGCACATATGCGCACATACATGTGTGCATATGTCAGCCAGCTGGCACAAGTTTGTTTTTTGGCAGAAAAAAGACAGATTATCCACTTTTCTGTGTTTTCTGTGTCACACATATTAATTTGAAGCCGCGTGCCTCCTGTTTCACACAGGAAATGAACTGCTCAGATCAGTATCCTCACACCAAAATGTGTGTACTCGGCAGTTTCCACATGCATTTGTGTGCTGAGTTACCCAGCTGCTTCACGCGTGTACATTGTATAGATACCATAGACATCTAAGCCATGAATTAAATACAATTTAATGTCTTTTTCTTTTGTCCAACCTGCATCCCTCAGGGTCAGAGGTCAGTCTTAGCCACAGCAACATGTCGGAGTCCGCCAAGCCCCACCACCTTACCCCTCAAGGTAAGGGGGAGAAGACCCATGGCAGCGACTTCAGCTACGTGGGCATTGATGCCATCTTGGAACAGATGAGGAGGAAGGCCATGAAGCAAGGCTTCGAGCTCAACATCATGGTCGTGGGTGAGTGCGACGTTCACAATTGCAATTCAATGTTTAGAGTCCCAGCCTCCCACGAGGCTCCATCTGAGATCTCTGAGATAAGAAGTGACAGATTCATCGATGGATAGATGTCATGGTATAATTGGTTCAATTGGTTCAATTTTGTTGTTTTGTCTTAAATAGCGGAAGCGTGATCCGATGTGGTTGGAAACATGCATATTGTTTTTACTTTGATGAAAACAAATTGCAGAACAAACACACAAATGACGGCCGTATAAGAAGGATATCTGCTCTCATGTTCCAATTTGGGAAAACGATGTCAAGCCGCTTCAGACTTTTCCTACCTTTTTTTGTGTTATTAAGTGTTTTTCAACTTTGACCGTGTCTTCCTCAAATTGTGTTTATATGACCATTATTTGCACCTCTTATCTATGGTTTAGTTGCATTGAGTAAGTAATTCATTTCAACACGTGCTAACAATGCTAAATCATGGCATATTTTGGAGATTTTTTATGAGAATTGGTCACCATAATGTACGAATATGACTGAAAACCTGTTAACTAACCTAACTGCTACCAGCCCGACTTCAAGCTTCATTCATGTTGGATTTGAAGTCCAAACTGACCAGAGACAATTGAGGCTGTTACTCCTTCCAAATGTTTTCAACTGTCATTTGACTCAATTCAGCGAGAAGATAAAAAGGTAGCCGTGTAAAACGTTTTCAATGTGGGCAGCAGCTACAGAAAATGCAGAACTAAGCACATAAAACAGGACGTTATACATAGCATGCTTAGTTTGCAAAATGCATCGCATTCATCATGAAGCTTCTCCTCTGAAGAAAAAGGAGAAAATTGTGCTTCTACCACAGTTTGTTTGTCTTATTCATTATGTATTATGATGTCAATTCAGTAAATTATTGTCTATTTAGAGTAAAATAAACCAAAAAGCAGGGAATGGTTTGGACCTTGACAGGATGCTACCATGGTGTTGTCTGGTCTCTCAGGGTTGTCTGTGTTTTTTTTCTTAGAACGTTGATCTCCCTCAACTTCACACATTTGGTTAAAAACAAAACAACAAGATTGCAATGTCCAAAGTTTCCGAGCTTGTGTTTCAAAACCCACAAACCACTAGGTGACTTTTTAGTTTGCTGCAATATGTTCGCTCACTATTTACATGCAGTCTCTACGGCGTACAGGTAGGGCCAAATGTCAGAATGTGATCCCACACTGAGATACAGATTCCTCAGCAGAAATACACTGCACGCAGGAGGAGGAGGACTGATTTAGGGCAACGGAGGGAAAGTCGTGTCAGAGCTTTAGTGAGAAAGGGGTGATGCGACTCTGTCAATGTTCTGAGATACGCGTTTTATCCTGCATCTCATTTCTAAAGAACATGTATCCACTTGCAGCGCGTCGACACCTCAAGGATAAACTGTGTTGTGAGATCATATAATACTGTGTTGTGTAACAATACCCTCACACAGCTCATGCCAGAGTTAAATACATAGGAAGTTCACAATAGAAAAGAACAGTGAGTTTAAACATTGGTGGATGGAAGAATAAAATGTAGGGCATCTTTTGGAGTCTAATGAAGTTTCCGCAGGTCACTGAAGTTGTCCGTGTGGTGTCGAGCGAGGACGTGAAAGGTTACAGGAGCCTGTGCACCATTTAGGGACCCTCCAATGAGATGCATTTGCCTAATCCCTGCCCTTCAGCCAGCTGACCTTTTATGCTTTCCACCACGAGAGGGAGAGAGGGAGAAAGTAGACTGAAGGCAGAGATTGTGTGTGTGTGTGTGTGTGTGTGTGTGTGTGTGTGTGTGTGGCAGCGACGGGTGGTGGAAAAGGCCACCCTGGGTGTCACGGGGCCGGCTTGGCAACGCTGCACACACCGCGGTGGATGTTATGTTCATTGGGACCGTGAACTGAGGGGGACGGCCAAATGTGGAGGGAAACAAAACAGGCTGGAGAGTTGGGGTGTGTGTGTTAGTTATTCAGTCACAAATGATAACATTTTCCAAAGTGTCTTTAAGGCCCAGTGCGATGTGGTTGCATATTACTACCATCTCCCCACTGCTCGCTCTTCCCTTTCCACATCAGCATTAATGTGAGGCTACCGAGTGCGAAACCGTGGCAATGCCGATGACCCAATCGGAGGCCGCCCATACCATAATAACATCACTCCACAATGGGAGATGGACAGTGGGCCGCGCTTCAATGGGTTTGCGCTGTGCAGCTAACTCTAATGTAGAAATGCAAAAGACTCTCGAGTCACCATCTGGTCTGTCAGTTCTGGGCAGCTGTAGAAAGATGGCGGACTCTGTGAGGAGGACCTGCTCTTTTAGATATGAAGGGCTAACTTGAAGAGAGTAGTAGTTAGCTGCACACTGTACCTTTTTTGAGTATTTCTTTCACTGCAATTGGTTGCTTCATACAAGAAAGCACAAACCAAGTCAGGGTGTCTCAGACATGTCCTTGTGAAGTAATCCATCTTGAAATGGTTAAAAATGGCCTTTGACTTTTACTCACGAGAGTACACACACGTGTGTGTGTGGGGGGGTGGGGGAGGGTGGGTGGCCTGTGCAATACATCTGTCCTCCTCGCCTCCACAGCTTGTCTATCTGACCCTGCAGCTGTCCTGCTATGCTGAGGGTCTATTGAGACACACACTTCCTGTGCAATCCATCCATTAGAGATGATGTCATGCATACTTAATCTGACAGAATTTTTTGGGGGGGAAAAAACGTAAAATAAAACTTCTATTTAAGTCTCTCTGACTGTGCGTGTTTTCCTGATCAGGGCAAAGCGGCCTGGGGAAGTCCACTCTGATGAACACCCTCTTCAAATCGAAGGTCAGCCGTAAGTCTGTGCAGCCAAATCCGGAGGAGAGGATCCCCAAGACCATCGAGATCAAGTCCATCAGTCACGGTTAGCCAATGTTCATATCCAGTAGCCTTCAGGAGAAATATTAATAGTATTGTCAACGTGTCAAATCTTTTTTTTGTCTGTGTCCAAAAAAACGCAAATCAAACTGCCTTTATTTTCTCTTCTCAGACATAGAGGAGAAAGGAGTGAGGATGAAGCTGACGGTGATCGACACTCCGGGCTTCGGGGATCAGATCAACAATGAAAACTGGTGAGCTGAGGATTCAAGGCCTGAGTAGCTGTTACGTAGTTTATTTCCATCACTGAGTTAGTATGGTTACTCCTTCACCCTGATCGGTTATCAATGACAAAAGTTCAAAGTTTTATCCTTTTATCATGTTCATAATCATGTTTTGTAGAAAATAAAATGCTTGGTCAGCGGACTCACTGTAATACAGCTTCTCATTCCTGTTTCCTGTGCCAGCTGGCAGCCCATTATGAAGTTCATCAATGACCAGTATGAAGCCTACCTGCAGGAAGAAGTCAACATCAACAGGAAGAAGAGGATCCCGGACTCCAGGGTGCACTGCTGCATATACTTCATCCCCCCCACAGGACACTGGTAAGGTCCCACGTGAGCGAGGCGCTCATGCGGCCCTCTATTTGCCCCCCTCCCTCCGTTTCACCAACTTCTCCCACAGCTGCTGAGACCAATCAGGCCTTCTGGGAATCTCTCGCTGACCCCATTGTCTGTCCACAGCTCCCACATCCCTCTGCAGCTCTTTTTTATCGTCTCCGTCTTTAGTGACCACATATGGAACACATTCCCTCTTCCAGAGAAACATGTCTTGAAGAGTCGGATACCACAATGAAATTAGACTCGACAGTTCTCATAGCTGAGAGGCAGGAAACAATTTTCAGGATGTCTTTTCTTGATTAGCAGATAGTGACGCGTTTAAGGCAGTGTTACAAACACCTTGAGCGAGTGTATATACAGAACACCAGCATTTGATACACTGCCGATTTTGCAGGTTTTCCCACTTACAAAGCTGATACATCAGAAAAGCCAAACTTAATATTTGGTACAGGAACCTTTGTTTTCAATTACAGACATTACGTTTCCTGTAGTTCTTGCAAACCAGGTTTGTGCAAGATCTTTCGAAACACAGCCTCATCCATCCTCCACTTCAACGCGGTGCAGTCGGCCTGCCGATGTTTCCACCTCCATGCTTCATGGTTGGAATGGTGTTCTTGGGTTGTACTCCTCTTTCTTCTTCCTCCAAACACAGCGAGTGGAGTTTAGACCAAAAAGCCCTATTTTCGTCTCATCAGACCACATGGCCTTTATGTGTATATATATATATATATATATATATATATATATATATATATATATATATATTATTAAATAAGTTAATCAATCACTACCCGTGAAAGTGTTTTCATCACTGAATATATTTTAAAAGGGGAAGCATCAACATTTTGGATTTGATCGATTCAGTGCCCTGAATGTGTATCTGGGAAAGCTTGTTGCAACCGCAATGCAAAACCACAATTATCTTTGTCGGTGATTAGTGTCTTGGGGGGGATTTCCTCCAAGTCCACTCTCTAATTTGTTCCTTTTGACGTCGAGGATTGGTCTGTCTTTTTATATGCACCGAGGGTCAAGGAAGGAGCACAGCAGGGCTCAGCGCTCACACGGGATTTCACAGTCGCTAAGGAAACTTGAAAGGAACTTTGTATTGTACACACGCGGATACAAGCACACTAAACACCCACCTGAGTGGTCTCCATGACGGCTTAATACTTCAGTTCACCAGTAACTCAACAGTTGTGTGTGTCCTGCTGCTCGACAGACCCCCTCATCATCTGCTCACGTCGCCACAGCTGCAGCTTTAGAGGATGTGCTTATGTGTGTGTCCCTGTTCATGTAAAGAAGTGCGTATCCTGGACTCCAGTGGGCAGTATGCATGCTAACACTTGCAGCCTGTAAGCACACGCCGTGTGTTTGTGTCACATTTCACTTCAGTAAGGCCGGTTCAAAGTCACCTCTATATCATTTGCGCTGTATTCAGTCCAACTACATGAACGCATGGATATATGCACTCGTGTTGAATAAAAGATGCAAGATGCAGTCAGGAAGTGGTGTCTCGCTTCCAGCCAACCAGACAGTAGAGAGGAAGACCTCTGTTGTAACCTGGCCCAGAGATGAATGTGTGTTAAAAGACAAAATCAGATGTTGTACGGGGCTTAGAAAAGGCATCATATAGCACATACTTCAATCACCTCTTATATGTACCGCAAAATGTGTTTTAACCTTAAATACAAAACATAACATGGACGTAGCGCTGGAAGCCTCTGGACACCTCCGCCATGGGACAGCACTCCTCTGGTCGCCCTCATAGGCCTCTGTCACCGGAGATACATACTTTTACTATTATCTTTTTTTCTGAGTGGTCCTAAGCAGCAGCAGCTTCTATCTTTCGAGGCTCTAATGCAATTTGCGCGTCGGCAAATTGGCTTATCAGTGGCTCCGGTGGTCTCTCTTGACGGATGAGCGGCGCTCGGTGAAGCGGAACGCGCTCATGGCACCGGGAGCCATCTCTGATAAGGGCACAGTCAGCCCCGCTGTTTCCCCTTCTGGGGGGGGGGGATCTCGTTGTTGGCTCATTTAGCGTGCCCCCCTGAGAAAAAGAAGGTCTCTGCGTTGACTCACAGCTGCTTCCTGGTGTATTGTAGAGAGGAAAGAGAGCAAAGGTTTCTGCGCTTGTGGTTTGCTGTTTGCTGTGCTTCTCATTAGACCTCAGCGTATTCTCATCTCTCACGAACATGACTTGAATCTCTGCGTGTATCCCTTTTTCTTTTTTAAGTGGATGCCTGTGCATGCGTGCATGCATTCTTATTCGTCCTCCATTTGTTCATGTCCAAAGATACACGTGTACACACGAGAGTGTGCATGTTGGCTCAGGCGCGCTTGTGACGCGGCCCGCGTGCCTGTTTGTGCATCGCATTGGAACATTTTTAGGGACGCTGAAAGAAGTCATTTATGCTGCATAAACGTTCACACAGAGAAGCTCACGATCCCCCTTTGCATGCACGAGACGCATGCCAGTTGTCACCTCAGCAGCAAACGAATGCATTCCAAAATAGCTACGCCTGGTTAAGGGTACTGCTCGCCGTGTCATCTCTTTTATCTTTTGCGCCGTCTTGTTTCGCCTTTCCTCTCTCTCGCCCCATGTAACACATGCCTCCACCCCTGTGTTTCCTCCCGCGTTCACGCGACGTGCTTGTCAGTCACTGTGTAGGGCCGGCAGGGCCTCCCCTCCGGCTGGCCCTGGCTCTTTGAACCAGGCTGGCCTGGCTTTGCTGGGCTAATTGGAGGGCAGAGCAGCCAGCGTGAGGGAGGGAGGGAGGAGGCAGGGTGGTGGTGTCTGTCTGGAGGAGCGACTGGAGGCAATGTTGAGATGGGATAAAAATAAAATAAAACAGAGTGGAGAGAAAAATGAGAAAAGAGGAGGATAGAGGAGAAAAGTGAAAACCTTAGTTGAAAAGAGAATTTACAAATTGTGTGAAATTGTAAATTTTAAAAATTGTAAAGTATATTGAAGACAAATGGGAAAACAAAGATTGTATTATCCATTAATTAAATGTGCAAGCTCTGCATTTTCATAGAAAGCAGGAGTGTAAAAATATAATAGTTTGAGTGAGTAATAAACAGCAGCTGATGTTGAAGCAGCAAGATGAGCATCAACATAAGAAACCACGGTGGACTGAATAAAATGAAATGGACCATGATTGCCCTCTAGTGGCTTGTTGTTTATGCTTTTACTTCCTGCAGTAGGCGTCAATAGTCAATAGTAGCCTGTGTTTATTTATTAATTTTTGAGGTTTGAACGAATCTGCAGGGCTTTGCAGCCCATGGCTCCAAACAGGTAGTGACGCTGTACTGTACTGTCGTCTCTCTCTCCCCTTTCAGTCTGAGGCCTCTCGATGTGGAGTTCATGAGGCGCCTGAGCAAGGTGGTCAACATCGTCCCCGTCATCGCCAAGGCCGACACACTCACCCTGGAGGAGAGGGACGACTTTAAAGAGACGGTGAGAGGAGTGCGCGCTGCTTTTTACGAGGCTGCTTCTCCTGCTTGGGGTTAATCTCATCCTCCCAAGCACGCATGCAGTGACCTCTAGCAGGTCTTTAAGGATGAAAATACACGGATGATGAGCAGGTTAAACCGATGGATTCCACCCTCACAGGCAAACGTGTTCATGTTTATATCCGTTACACAGGTCGGTAACATGTGAGGAGCTGCCAGGCACCACAAACGAAAGCCTTCTGGGCAAACTTACACTGCCCCCCTCCTGGGGCGCAGTCGGCCCCATTGCCTCCATTACTGCAGCGCTTCCAAAGGTGCTGCTCGGTCTCAGAAGAAAACATTTAAGAAGTCTTTATTTGAGGTGTTTATTTAATGAGCATTGCTCTTAAATCAGATGACAAATCTCTTCCCGGTTGCCATCCGAGGAGGCCCTACGTGTACCAGGGAATTACTGGGCGATCGCATGTTTGAGTTCAAGGAGGTCTCCACCGCGTGGTGCATGAAAAAGAGACACATGGCCTCTGTGGAATATATTCAAATATGAAAATGCCTCGAAAGAAGCATTTTGCGTAACGTGAATAGGTTTCAGTAATCCAAGGTAATTTATGTTTGTGATACTTTGGTGAAAGTCAAAGCTCTTAGAATTTGCTTATCTTTACTTTAAACTAAAGTGTCAGAAAATGTAGGTTTTCATTTGAAAGACAGGTTTTTAAGCAGAATGCATAGTTGTGTAAATAATCCTCCATAATAAAAAAACTTACTTTATTTTAGGCGATTCTAAGCATACTTACCAATATTGCCCTCTATCTGCAATAACTGTTGTGTGTAATTTGCTTTTCAAAATAACTCTAGTACTATTTTCTCTTTCAACTGGCCTATTCCGTAGTGTGGCACGTTCGACCTATGGGGGGACCTATTTTATGCTCAACAGCAGCACACGACCGGCTCCAGCCTCCTCGCCTCGCTCCGCACCTCTGCTGTCGCCGGATCTCCCCTTCTTAAGGACAAACACACACAATGATTAATCCAACCTGAGGCCAATTATGCCTCCTCCTGGCACCGTTCCCCGAACCACTCCCCTCTCCGTCCCCTCTGCAGCTGAGCAAAACCACACATTGTTATTGCGATAATATCCCTATCGTGAATTCTTTTGGCCACGATAATCGTGAGGTCAAAATCGACATCCTCACCTGCTACGTTACAGCGGTCAGACTAACACACAAGGAGGCTCCTCCGGCTGAGAATCCTCCACTGCCGCTTGACCTGCTAAAACACGTTTTCCCCTGCTTCCCTTCTTCACTGTATTTCTGTTGGATAATTCACAATCCGCAGGAGGCAGGCAGCCACCATTTCCTTTAAATCTCTGCTCCTCCCTCCAAGCCTTCAGACTTTCCTCAAAAGCTTTAGTCATTTTTAGAGAAGCTCGATGGGTGTCTTGGCATACGGTTCCCCCCGTCTGGTGCCCAAACACCGTCCAATAAGAACAGAGCCGGCGTTTGGACCGGCCCCTGGCAGAGAATGGAAGCCGCAGGGCTTGTAGCTGGATTGTTTGGGTTGGCCGCACAGGCTCCTCACGACCCTGAAGATTATTGACTAAAAGCAGCGTGTGCCAGGTGCTTTTCTTTTTCTTCCACTTTTCCTGCAGCAACCTCAAAGCAGGGTAAGACGGGTTTTACTATTAAATGTTGAGCCTCGGCGTGTCCAGCTGTGAGTGTCTGTTTGCGTTCCCCCGACCGTTGATGTGGCTTTTCCACTTGGTGTGCGTCTCCCATAATGTGAGCCTGAGAAAAAGCTTCCAAGGATCAACAATGAAGTGGGAATTGTCAAACTAGTAATTGTGGGAGTGAGGAGTCATTCATTAAAAGGCCGTTCCTCCCAGGGGCCCGCCTGTCTATTTCTTTTATTCAAGTCATTATAAAGAAAAGGGGAGGCCATTCAATAAGCCATACCACTGTCTGTGTCACAGCGGTTTACCTTCATGTTAACACCTCCGTGTCGAGGATAATAGTCATTCTCTGTCAATACCAAACTGCGTGACATGACCCACTGTTTGTTTAAAGTTGTAGTGGGATCACAGCAGGTTCTATTCAAGTCTCAAGCCCAGACCTAAATACCCACCCGCATGTAAGCAGGACTCGATCCCAGCACCCAGTGGTGGTCGTGAGGTGACGAATGAATGAATGGTTCGGGGTTGTTTGGTTTGCATGCCAGTCCGACCTTCCTTTGGCCTCTGTTACCAAAACCCTTTTGCCAACCTGTAATTGTGAAAGATTTGAAATGTGATTGCTAAGACGGAGTAATTAAATGCTGTATACTTGCTGATCCGGTGGTAGTTTACCAACTGATTTCGTCTCGTTGTGCTTTGCTTTGTTCAGATTAGGGAAGAGCTGCGAGCAAACGGAATCGACGTTTACCCCCAGAAAGAGTTTGACGAGGACGCAGACGACCGGAAGATCAATGACAAAATCCGGGTGAGATCAGTCGTTGAGCGTCCTCCTGTGTCTCTAGACATCACGCCACTCACAAATGTGTATTTTGCAGGTTTAAAGTGGTTCATCTCGTGTCATTTATTTTCTTTTTAACTCCTCATTTTCCCCCTTTTCTTTTTGTTGGAAATTTCCTGTTGAAAAACAAGAAAGTCAATACCAGCATGTTGTTCTGGTAGTGGTGAACGAAAAGAAGCGTGACAATGAAAACAAATTGACCCTGTCGCTTCAATGACCGCGTGCATCTGTGCACTCAACAGGAGATGATCCCGTTCGCTGTTGTGGGCAGTGACCAGGAGTACCAGGTGAACGGAAAGAAGATTCTGGGAAGGAAAACGAAATGGGGCACCATAGAGGGTAAACACACACACACACACACACACACATACATTGAACAGAGAGCTCCTCCTCCTGGCAAACAGATGATTACAAAATGATTCACTGACCAGCATCAGTTGGAGCTGAAATCGTAATCGTACATTTATGTATTACAGATTGGCCTTCATATATAGGCCAATCTGTAATGCATAAATATCTGAACGCTGCCATTCTGGTGCATTTTCAACATTGTGAATTTACGAACTGCAGCTCTTAAAGTCCGGGCGAGCTGCTCCAACCATCTGTTGTTTGACTACCAGGCGTTTGTGTACATACGTCTCTCTGCGTCTGTAACCAGGGACACGTACGAGACAGGAGGAAGAGATTTACCGGGACTCTGTGTGTCCTCTGGAACAACTCACCCCCCCCTTCCCCTCGCTCGCACACTGTTACAGTTTACATTTTGGTTGGCCCGTGCTGTGTGCTCACACTGCCAAGGAGGTTCTTAGAGAGTGAACATCCTCGCGGTGTGCGTGTGCGTGCGTGCGAGAGGGAGAGCACATCTGTCCAAACAGGCAGTGAAACTACAATTGGAGGACCAGTACTCTTAAAAGCACCCGTTTCCTTCCCAGGATGCACTTCAGCACATTCTTCTGCAGTGCATACTGAGTTCTTTTTTATTAGCCGGCCACGCTATGAATGCCCTGTAAAACATAAGTATAATAAAAGACAATATAAACCATTTTTACAACCTGTAAATTATTCAGACTGCACACTCAAGAGAGACGCACGTCTGTGTCATCTGTGATTCAGTGTTCGCTTGGAATACGACGGTCAGGGAAGAGTCTGAGTCTAGAGTCTGCTCTGGTCGGACTGTAATTTGAGGTTTCAATGTCTTTGATTATGAACTAATCTAGTTTGTATATTAGTATATTAATACTGTGATCGTGTAATGCCGGTTAATAAATGGAAAGAATTCTGGGTCGAAATATTGCTGCAATTTTATATTCATTCATATTATGTTTCTTATAGTGAATGATCACATTGGTCCTACTTGGACCTCATGCATTTAAAACAAAGCCGCTTCCGAGGTAAAACCATAAGGGTTTTTTTTTTACCAGGGATGTCTACACCGTGGACTCACACGGTACTACTACAGTACGGCAGGGCGAGAAAGAGCCTGTCTTGTTCTTTTAAAAAAACAGCGGCCCCAAACTAGTGAAGCCTACGGGTGGGAGAGGGAACAAGGGAAAGGAGGAGAGGAGGCCACTCGGCTGCTGGAGTGGGGACTGTTCAGGGCTAAAGATGAGTAGCGTAAAGATGAAAAGGAAGGAATAGAGTTGACTCAGGCATTTAGATATAAATATATATATATATATATATATACACACCGTACATAGGGTGTTACAGGGACGAGGGAGTGTGCAGATACCGGCAGTGCAGCTCGCTTAAAGTAAGTACCGCCTTCCCTCGACGCCACTAATCAGCGCTCCAGACCCAGCAGTTATTCCACTCTCCTCCTTTTTCAAAGAGAATTTAATTTCCTGCCCGTGGATTTCAAAGCTTTACATAAAAAGCACCCTCCCCTTTTTTTTCATTTACACTCTTGACATAATCTATAATTCAAACATGTGTTCGCCCTACCGGAGGCAGCAGCAGCTTGTCACGGGGAGTTTGTTAAAACGTCTCACTTAAAGTTCTCCAATATAGAGGAGAGCTGAGACGTGTAAAATGACTCAAAGTGTGTTATCTTGGCTTAAGGGAATTGTTGGAGATGTTGTGTTAGGAGACGCGCTTCGGTCGACTTTAGAACAACACAGCGGAGTTGTGGTGGATTATGTGTGTGTGTGTGTGTGTGTGTGTGTGTATATAAAGTCAACCCTTTGAGTGTTCTGATTAAGAGTTTATTTGGTTCAACTACTGTTTCCTCTTTTCTCTCCCTGCAGTTGAGAATATCGCACACTGTGAGTTTGCTTACCTGCGAGACCTCCTCATCAGGTGAGCATCCATTTTAAGATCTAAAGACATGCAGGAACTGATATTAAAGACCTGTCACGGGCCGAGCCTCCAGCTACTCCCTTTTTTTTGTTGAGATGAATTTGAACCCGCCCCGAGACGCTACAAAGCTAGACGTCCCTACGCAAATCAATAGTAATGAAGTTGTTTTAGAAGGCCTGAGTGCTTCCCTAGACGGTAGTATTACAGCAGGCACGTCTACAAAAGGTCCTCCATTTAATTTGCGCCTGTTAGTGCAGGAGTCTCCTCCATAGACTGTGGAAGTCTGACATGATATTTTATGGATAAAAACCTAAAACAAATTGGTTTATTCTTAAAACCAAATGAGCCAAAATGATTGGTCGCCGTCCCCCACTTGTGTATTTAGCACTGAGTGGAGGATCTAGAGGGAAAGACACACTGAACGCACCACTTAGCTTAGCACACACTTGCATACATGCTTGCAGAGCTTACTCGGTACCAGTGGCACTGTGTATTCTAACCTTGCATATGAGGCTTTCCTATGTGGCAGCTAGCCCCAATCCTTAACCCCTTAATCACAAAAACTGTGAAAAAAAAAAGTGCTGTTAACAGTTAATGCATGAATTGCCATTGGACTAAATCAATAAAATAAGACAATCGCATGTATTTTACTTTTGCTGCGAAGCTATACTTTGGTTTTGAAATGCGCCCCGCTGTCTTTTAGGACACACATGGAGAACATCAAGGACATCACAGGCAGCATCCACTACGAGACGTATCGCGTCCGCCGGTTAAACGAGTCCAACGGCCACTTCGTCTCGCAGCAGTGCGAGCGCCCGGCGGCGCAGCCGAAGGCCAACGGTCAGCCCGAGGAGCAGCAGCCCGGCGGCCCCCCGCAGGCCAACGGGGTCGCCGCTCCGCACGAAGCCCGGTCCCACGAGATGTAGAGTCCGCGCAGCATGTCAGGACGCAGCCGCCCAAGTGTTCTGTTTGCATGAACGTGCACACGCACACACTCTCATGCTGTGAAGCCTGTCTTTTTGTTACCTAGAAGGAATAACTACCACAACCGCAGGAAGCTCCACACATCAGTCAGAGTAAATCTTTTCCCCTCTTTTTGTCCCTTCCATGAAAAAGGTTTTTTTTCGAGAGATCCACATCGGGACAAGGGCTTTTAACCCCCCCCCCCCCCCCCCCCCCCCATCCCCCATTGTGACTGCACAATGCAACATATATTCACATTTGTTTACAAGAATACACCGTGAAAGATGGCGTGTGATGGATAATCAAGAGTAAATCTATCAATGTTTCATGTATGTATGTATGTATTGCGGCGAGTCAAATGAAAGTGAAAAGTCAGTGAAACAATGAACAATATTTGGATCTGAATCACAATACCTTTGCAGGATCTTGGGTTTAGCCGTTGGGGATTGTCCCGACGAGGAGAACTGGCATGATTCTAAATGAAGTACAGCATATCCGACAACACATTAGCTCTAAGTAACTGTTTGTGCCAATGGTCTGGTGTGCTTTGTGTTTTGGTGTATAGTTTTGTAGAGAAACTATGGTTAAGTATGGATATTTAGATTACGTTCATAGCATCACGGAGAAGGTAAATACATTTTTGACACCTCCGCACTGCAAGATGATACTAGAAGACAAAGCCGTGGCAGTGTGGAGCAGCTTTGTAAGAATTAGTCCCCATTTCCATTTTCTCAGTCGTGTTATGTTTTTAAAAATGTCTTTTTGCCAACCCCCCCCCCCACTTCGTCTCTTTCTATATAATGCCAATGTTGTGTAATACGGTAATGCCTTGCCTTTTACATTTACTATAGTATTTTTATTGCTGTTCATATTCTAATGTGATTGGATAGAATGGGACTGTTGGAGGTATCTGTGCAACTGTTTTGTCCATTTTTATCCATACCAAATAAAAGTTGTTTTTTTCTGTTCTAAAGAGAAGCACATACAATATAAAGAGTGGATTTATGAATAGATATTTATGTGTATGTTAAGTGTAATCCGTTCAATTCAACTTTCATTGCAGCTTAGGGCTTTCAGAGGTTTGTTGCAGGTCTCTACCAGTCATTATCTTTTAGCTTTAGACTTATTTGTTTTTAGTGGCCTGCATTTTTACACCACGTTGTACCCTGTTGGTCCGGCTTATAACTGGCACCACAGTGCAAAAGATGTATATATTTATACATAACCAACCGATTCTGCAAAAACTAATAACAGGGATATTTACCAGATCATAAGGAAGGAATCAAAATAACACCTTGAAACAAATGTGCACATTAATACAAACTCATGGGATAATTTTTAGAAGCTAAATCCAAATTTTGAACATTATCATACATTTTCTAACACAAATAACCAAGTGTGCACTCTCTAAAATATGTTACATACAGAGAGAATACTTTCCAACAACCAAGAGAACTATAGTCTTTACTGCGGAGAAAGTTATTGGGTTACACCTTGTCTACTGTTGTAAAGTTCTTGTGTAATTTGTTATGGTATCATGGATTAAGGTTCTATCTTTGATATGTTATCTTAAAGAATAAAGATGGATATTTTTATTGTTAAACATTGATTGTCTTGATTGTCAAAACGACAGCTTTGTGCTGATTAATCATCAAAATGTTCAAACCATAAAATAACATCGTTTTGGTAACTAAGTTAAAAATAAGATACATTTTATTTATCCTGTTCTCAAATCCATTGTTATTTATCCTTATTTCACATCAAATATAATTGACAAGGCCAAATCTTTTTCGTCTACATTTAACAATTTTTTTCATAAGATATCAAGTTCACAAGAATGAACCAGATAATTAATAACCAGACGATTAATAACAATCAGCGTACACGACCCCGACTGAGAGGAAATATGCCTCTTTAGCATCACACCTCGCTCACACGGCTCTGGCTCAAAAGGGCTTCTCGTTTACACCCCTGTCATCCTCTTTCTCAACTACCCTGCTGGTCGTTGACGCGTTGACAGTGCCGTTTGTGGTCATTGTCCTCCTTTCACACCTTAGGGCTCCCGCTGTGGCTTCCCCTGCCTTCTCCCTCGCCGTCTCCTCCATGAGAAACTGCTCTTTTACGAGGACGCCAAAGAGTGAAAAATGGAAAACGGTGAGGTGAGAGACAATGAAAGTTTCAGAACAATCTGTATAAGCCGACAAAGCATGAAGGGTACCGATACTGACAACTGTGACACTGCTGTGACAGCCCCACTGGCTGGAGCAGGTACTAAACATTGTGGGGTTGCATGGTAACAGACAGCTGTACCTGCTCACCCCATGTCTTCATCCAATTGTATGACTTGGCTCATTAGAAATGCATCTCATAGTGCAATAAATGAGAGGGTGAAATGTGCTATTGTTGTAGAATACGGGCACATGACAGATACTGACAGGGGATTTCATTTAGTTCATCTGTGAGTGCCGTGCAGTGGAAGACACCGGGACAGATTTGTTCGGAGAGCAGACGGGTTCACACACGGCTCAAAAAGAGACCGTCTGAGCCAGACTGAGCTTTCAGAGCTTCCTCTTGAAGGGGAAGATTGCGGGGACAGAAACAACAACGGGGAAATAAGTATTTTCCAACATGTGAGACGAACGAAAGAGACAAACAGAAATACTTCGATCAAAGAGGCAAAAATGATCTCAGACTTGAGGGAAACAGGCACCAACAAATTCTAGCTGGTGCTATCATTATAGTGTTCTCACCCATTTACTCATTTAGTTATAATCCTAACTTTACAATTCCAAAATGGCATAAGGATGAGTCCGTAGTGTAATGGGAAAAATGCATGCAACCCTTCAAATGTTTCACTGTAGGACAGTTTATAGACAGTTTATAGAGCAGTGCTGCAGTGCTGTGATTGTGTGGCTATGGGAAAGAATTGAGCTGAAGCGTCTAACACTGATAAGACGTCCCCAGTCTCCTGGACGTAGAGTAACAACAAGCTGGTTCACATGTGTTGGACGTAAGCAAGTTTCACTGGATGCCACCTGGATCTGGTACGGAGTTGTCTCCCTTTCCTTCAATAATGTGATTTCTCTCAGTTAGAAACCCTTCTAAGCAAAAAGGACTATTCTATTCTACTTGTTAACACATTTGTTTTTCTTGTCATTTGAGCGTGCAGTTTACAAGTGAAGTAGCAACAGCGATGTTCTAATGCTACTTTTTTTTACATTTTCCTAGGTGCTGTTTCCTATATAATTGAATTATATTCAATTAAAACCCCATTTAGAAGTGGTTCCTACTTTGGTCACTTTAAGTGAGCGATACGTTGTATGTTTTCCATATTTGATGTCATCTTTTAAACTAGAATCAGAATATTTAGCAACTAGCTAGCCACCGACAGGCTAACTAGCCATTTTATTTAGCTTCTAGTGAGCTTGAGTATTTAGGGTCACAATCAGAGATTGTAGTGCAAACGTCCTTTCACAGATTCATGAGGTCACGTGTACAGAATTCTGTGGTTTTATTTGTGTGAAATGTCTTAACGAAAGGCAAACTGGCTGTGCTGCTGCCGCTTCTGGCTTCTCTGTGAGTAAAGTACATTTATAATGTCATAATATGGATGCAATATTATCAAGTGAGCACCAGGGTTTGTTGATTTTCAAGGAAACCCCCCACAAGGCTCAATAATAGAATCTGCACTGATGTCAGTCAGCTTTTATTTTCCACAGCAAGAACAGACGTCACAACAGAAGAAAGAAACCTCCCCTGGCATCGGCTTGAAATGCGTTTAGCGGCATTCTCCACTAATGGCAGACGTGCCACTACTTGCAGCAGCACACTGCCAAACACTGGGGGGTCTGAATCAATTAGCCACTCAACAACTCCCGGCTCCATGGCGAGGTTTAAAGTCGTATCAGCTGAAGCCAGGTGGATCTGATGAGGTACAACGCGTGTCATCACTTCCTCTCAGATGCTGAGCCGTCCGCCTGCAGGCGGCGGACTGGGCTCTTTCATTATGCGCCTGCTGGGTGGACACCGTTGGATATTGGCAACGTATGAGTGTTCTTCCCCAGTTGATCTTGATAATAATTCACAGGAACTATAGCTATGGATGCTAGGATATTAGAAATGAACTGATGACCCGGTTCATAAAATTAATAAAATGCATTCAGTGTACGCCAGAATACAGCCATGATTCTGAAACTGTGTAATCAATAAAGTAATGACAATATTGTAAAACCCCTGTAATTCTGCAACTGTAATAGAATAATACTAATGCAGTTATGATTGTATTTGATGTAATGTAATCAACCTGAATGCATGCATGTGATACTTGCACAACAACTGATATTGACTAACGGTCATTCAAAATCCGAGTTACAGGGAACTCACCAGAAGACCACTCCCAGAGGTGTGGAGACTAACTTTCACACCTTTACGGATCGGTTTAAATACCTGTAGGCAACCATTGTTCTGGAGCTGGTGGAGGCAGCAGACGGACACTGGGAGGTCAAAGGACCCTGTGGCCTGTTGGTTGCAGAGACCAGCAGCTCCTCAGCTGAGATGTTCTTTTCATCACAACACCATCTCTTTTATTAAATACATTTGATTTTAACCTTTCAATCTGCGATGACCTCTGTCTGTCTGGCGTTTCTTCATTTTTGAACACAACAAATGCTATGAAACACCTGTAACTGTGTACAGATTAAGAGTGTCGCCCGCCTCTTCCCTCCACCACAGAACTGCATCAGACATTTGAATCCATGCCAAACATGATGTGTCAGGTTAACCTCCCGCCTTGTATATCACTGCACTTCACCCAGCAGCATATTGCTCCACGGCGGCATGTTACCAGGGTCTCCTGGCTATAGTACAGTGATTCACCTTGTGTTTGTAGGAATGAAGCCAATTTAATTCAACGCCACAGTGCCATCTGTCTGTGGATTCATTCACCTCCAATTGCAAAAGGACAGATCAGAATCAAGTTCTGAGAAGAGAGAGCAGAGAGGGACGGAGACGGAGCGACACGATGTTAAAAAAACTCAGCTCTCCGCGTTCCTTCACTGGCTGCGTCGTTACCAGGCAGAGTTCTCCCACCCAGACAGCCAATGAGCCACCGGGCCGGCCAGCAAAGCCAACCAGACACACTTCCAGTGAGGCCAGTTCTCCATCTGGCTGGCCAGCCCATTGTGGAGCGGGCCAACGCCTGTCTGTGCTAGTGCGGCACACACACACACACACACACACACACACACACACACAGATGTCTGCCTTTTCCTGAGCCGTGAGAACAAACTGTCAGGCAGGAAGGAGGAGGACTCGGACGCAGAGGGTTCAGCTGATATTGCTTTTTATTAATAACAAGAAAAAACTGAAAATCTCTCTTAACGAGGAAACAAAGGTCGCGATCAAAGTTCAAAAGGCAAAAACTCAAAATCTCTCTTAATGAGGAAAAAAGGTTGAGATCAAAATTCAAAAGGCAAAAACTCAAAATCTCTCTTAAACGAGGAAATGTAACAGGGATCAAAAGGACGTGACAAACGTTATCGGACTTGACTTGACTCGTGACGTGAGGGCTGGTGTGCAGGGCAAAACAACAAGACACACTGGCACAGGACAAGGGGCGACGCAGACTATAAGTACCCATGAGGGAGTTGTGGGAACAGGTGGACACAATCAGGAATCAGGGGAGACAATCAGACTGGTGACACATGAGGAAGGGCAAGGGACCTGAAACGAGAGGGAGTTAGTTTCCAAAATAAAACAGGAAGTCAAAAAACAACTGGAGACAGGACAAAAACGCAACTTGACATACAGGTGTGACATTACCCCCCCCTCAAGGCCGAATACCAGGCGGCCTTGGAATGTCCGGGTGTGCTCTATAAAAATCTCGAATGAGATCCGGGTCCACTATGAAGCTAGACGAGACCCATTGTCGTTCCTCTGGGCCGTAGCCCTCCCAGTCCACGAGGAACTGCCTGCCCCGTCCCCGCTTACGTACCGCCAGCAGTTTCCTCACCGTGTAGACCGGCCCCCCCTCGACCATTCGAGGGGGTGGGGGTGGCTTGGGGTTTGGCACCATTGCGCTCTCCTTCGCTGGTTTGATTTTGCTGACATGAAAAGTTGGGTGTACCCTCAGGGACCGGGGCAGACGGAGGCGCACAGCTGCTGGATTGATAATCCTCGAGATGGGGAACGGGCCGACAAAGCGAGGGGCCAGCTTTCGTGATTCGACCTGCAAGGGTAGGTCCTTGGCTGAGAGCCATACTCGCTGGCCGGGCTGGTACACTGGGGCCGGTCTCCTCCTGCGGTCCGCTGCTTTCTTCACTCTGTCCCCTTGTCTGATCAGCGTCTGGCGTGCCGCTGCCCAGATGCGGCGGCAGCGGCGGACCAAGGCCTGGGCGGAGGGCACAGACACCTCTGGTTCGGACTCGGAAAACACAGGGGGTTGGTAACCAAAAACGCAATGGAAGGGAGACATGCCAGTGGCGGAGGTGGGAAGGGAGTTATGGGCGTACTCTACCCACGTCAGGTGTTCGCTCCATGACGCAGGGCTCTGGGCCACCAGGCACCGGAGGCTGGTTTCCAGTTGTTGATTGAGGCGCTCCGTCT